AAACACCTCACGGAGCGAATCAGATAAAGAGAAAATGTTGCATACGGCAAATCAGATTAGGGCGAGTCAGAGCTTTACTTTTTCGTTTTCAGTTTTTTTTTTTTTTCCTCCCCTCCTGCCTCCAACTCAGTTAAATTTACGACCGCTGCAGCTCATGTGTCTGATAATAATGCGCTGTACTGCTGCGCTGAGTTATCATCTCAGGCTTTTGTCTCCTTTGATCCGTGTGACCGTTGGGGGACCCACTTCTTCTTTTGTACAGGGTCACATCGCAGGCTCCTTTAGGACGGGCCTGCCCCCGGGTGGTGACCCCTTCGTTCATCACGGTGTCACCCACACAGAGGACAAGCATGAGTTAGAGCTTTCTCCCTCTCTCTTTTCTCTTAGTTCTTTCTCCTGGCCTTCCCGCTCATTCCTCTGTTCCAATCTGACCATCCTTTCCTCCTTGTCCACCCATAGGCGCTGACCTGAGAGCTGGGGGTCAGACACGCTGAACTTCAACAGATGGAAGAAGTGATATTAGGATTGACTCACACCGTTCCCTCTCTGACTTTAGTGAATTGAAGCTGAATTGACTTCAGCAACCTTGAATCGCCAGCCGGCGAACCAGGCCGTCGACCCTTTGAGTGTGCGTGAGTATGCAAACATACTCTTGAACAGGAGAAGGATGGAGGTCCGGAGCTGATTGTCCAAACGCAATTCTTGCGTCTGCCTTTGTGAAACCAGGAGTTGTGGATGGACATCATGCCCCTGACCTCTGAAAATCAGCGAGGGACGGACCACCATGGACGGGATAAAACTCAGTGGCTTTGTGGGCGGATACACTGAGAAGACAAACAGAGCGAGGGAGAGCGCGAGGGAGAAATTGAAGAAGGGAAAGTGTGTGTTTATGTAAATGTAGGCCTATAAGAGTTTCTCTTGACAACGCAGACTGGAATTGTTTCAAGTTGAGCCTGTAAAATATTTGAGTTTAAAGCTTTTAAAGGGAACGACAAGATGTAAAGCAAACAGTCATTTCTGATCTTCAGGTCAACTCAGGTGTGTAGTGAAGAGCTTCGGACATTTTCCTCTTACAGAGCTGATTTACAAGGCAGGCTGGTGAATATTTAATATATAGTAATATATATTGGATATATGGCAGGTGCCATTTTATTAACATGGCAGGTGGACAGCAGCCAATTGGGAAGGCAAGAGGAAGTCAATTCATTTATTTGTCAATGCTCACAACACAAATTGGTCAAATTCTGAAACAGAACGCGACACATATTTCATGACAAATCAGATGTTTTCCGAAATGCAAGAGATATGGCAAAATTTGTCTTTCACACCAATGGGAAAATGTGAGTTTTAACAGGCTGAGGGTTAGAGTGACTTGACTCTTATCTATGTTAACTTTACGGAAAAGGAAGGAACTAATAACCCAACTGTCAATGGCTCATACACGCCCGGCTCTGCAGATCAGGGATGTCCCATTTCAGAGTTGGTTTAGAGTCTGTTGGTGGAGCAGAGAGGGCTGCTCTCGTCGTGTGAAGTACAGTTGAATGTGTCCGGTTCGCACTTCAGCACCAGCGTCTAGAGAGGGTCTTGCTAAATTTGCAATGGAAGGGGTGAGAGTGACAAAAAAGAAGAGTGAATGAGGGGAGGGAGAGAGAGAGTGTGTGTGTGTGTGTGTGTGTGTGTGTGTGTGTGTGTGTGTGTGTG